CGGGATTATAATTTCAGGATTATAAATTTTCGGGATTATAAATTTTCAGGATTTTTTTTCTTTAGGATTTAGTTTTCAGGATATTACCCCTTCGGGATTTTGTTCTTTTGGGATTTGGTACATCGGGATTTAGTATTATTGAGATTTCGATGTTCAAGATATTGACCCAAAATCATTTCGCATACATAATCAGTTTACTTTTGCATATGTATTTTGTGAATTTATTTATTGTATTGATATCGATGTACATTACTCGCTTATGATCAAGAATTTTTTATCCCGTATATTATTTTTATTAGCTGAAAGCTAGCCAGAGGCTATATCAATAAAATGACTCTGATGACTCATATACATATATATTCGTGTTTACTTTTGCTTATGTATTTTTTTGAATTTTTCTGAATTTTTCTTGGCATTGGCATGAAGATTCTTCATGTGTACATAATTTTCTGCTCGTATAGTTAATTGAATATATACACATTTATATAAAAAATGGCAAATACACAATTCAAACCTGATTTATTAGAACAGATTTCCAAGCTTGTAGCTGAAAATACTGAACTTAAAAAGGAGAAGGCTGAATTCTTGGCTAAGGAAGCGGGACTTATGGCTAGGATTGTAGAATTAGAACAATCCGCAAAAGAAAATGTAGAAAATATGAAATTAAGAGATGCTGAAATCAATGAGCTTAGATCCAGAGTTTCAAAATTAGAACAGAAGAATTCGCAAAATGATAAAGAAACAAGCATATATAAATCATACAAAGATACCAATCAATCTTCAGTTAATAACATCTCTACTGAAACGGAAGATTCTAATGATGTATCTTCAAAGGTAATCTCTCAAAGTGAAAATGCTTCGGTATCTGATATATCTAAAAATATTTCAAATTCTGATATATCTAGTAACACCCCAAATTCTGATATACATCAGGAGTCCTCATCTCAACTGGAAGTTGGTTCATACAAATATTTCACACCACTTATTTGCACAGAGATTAAATCATCGGAAGACAAGGAAATATATGAATTCCTGAGTTCAATATATAAAGAACAGGTTAGTAATAAGATAATCCAGAGCATTAAGGAGAAAAAACTTCGAGATCAAGAGTTACTCTCAACTCCTAATAATAATACTACTAATATTTTGCGTGAGCAAGGTTTAATACAAGAAAAATGCCAAGAAATTTCTGTTACTAAAAATCTTCTGATCAAATTTCCAATATGTCTAGTAATAAAATCTCAGAACAAAATATCAAACTTATTGATTCCCCTGATAAACCATTAACAAATCTAATTATAGAACAAGAATTACAGTAACAGATTGCCATGTCAACTGGAGGTAATAATTTAGCTATGGTAGTTGAAAACTCAATGCAAGATATTAACATTTCTATCAATGATTTGTCTCCAGTTTCAGCGCAGACCATAGTATGCATATTTCGAAAAGCGATTCATTCTGGTCAAGATACAATTTTATATTGGTATCACTTTGCTAGAAAATATAACAGAAGAATAGATGAAGTTTCTGTTAGTAACAAAGTTGATAAGAAAAAAGCAACCAGCTTAGTGTATCACAAAATTAAACAGCTTCTACTAGACATAACAGATGTGAATTTACGACATAAAATTCTCAAAGCTAGAAAAATTAAAACACTTTTAGTGCGGTAAGAATAGAAAAAATTAGACAAGTTTCATATAGCACAAATGCAATTTCTAGCCTCAGTTATACACAAATCCAAAACATCATAAATTATGTTAACGAACGGACTTCTAACTCAAATATTCCACTAACCAAGAAAACCTTGAAGGAAGATATTATAACTGAGGATGGCAAACTATCACTGGAGACTGAGGTGGGTATACCTATCGAATCTTATGTTTTTCCAAAAAACTACCCCGAAATCAAAGTGAGTGCATCATTTAATCCAACTCGTGATCGTGTTTATTTTCATAATAAAATATTGGGTCAATATCTGGATATATATAGAGAATTTAGTAGTGAAAAATTCAATTATTATGGAATTATTGACAAGTCATTATGTCCAGTATGCAAGTCGAGTCATAAAGATGAGAAAAGTATAAGAGGTAGATATGAAGCTGGATCTTATTTTATTAAATGTGGACAACAAGAAATTGAAATAAC